ATTATCCAGATCTTCCTGCAATCAAAACATTAAATAATATCTTACATGATTTTCACCTACTTTATAAGTAAAGTAGAACCCACACCCAGATTTTAAAGCATGTTTGGCTTATGGTGCTAGCCCGATATTTTTTATAGACCAATCAGAACTTGATGTGTTCAGTGTTAGCCTATGCTAGCTTCACATCATGTGCCGTGTCGATAAGCGTAGGCTGTCATGTTTCACAATCTCACATAGTCACCAGAATCATGGATCATTTCAAAGTTTATGTCTCGCCCAACCAGGTATTTATCTCTTTGCCTTCCTCTTGCTCTCCTTCCATCAGTCTTGCCAGTTGTTACCAAGTTCTCAAGTCTATTCCTTCTTATTACATGTCCAAAAACATACTGACTATCTATGTCCAATTGTTATTAGAATTTTACGACTTTCAACTGTCTTTATGAGAACTGCTTTGTTTTATTTTTCGGCTATCCTCTGAATAACGGCCACATATTTTGGCGGCCAAAATCACACCCTGACAGGGCCTCAATCACCTGTAAATTGCAGACTTCCTCTGATGAACACATCACGGCAAAACTAGGATTACTGTCCGTTGACAATTTTGAGAAACAAAACAATACACGCGATAATAGGGACATGGCAAAGAGACTACACGCTCCGACACAGTTTAGCGATAGTGTTCTTCCAATTAAACTCACCGCCGAGCGTATTTCCCGCGCGGCGCAGATGGGGGGCTAAACTAGATGGCTGGGACTCACGAGCAGCAGCTACAGCATCTCCTGCAACTTCCTTTAATTTATTTGCTTGTGAGTCCCAGCCATTTAGTTTAGCTCCTATCCCAGCCGCGCGTAGCGGTGAGGAAGATACTCTCGGCGGTCAAAACTGCATTACTGCGGCACCGATCATATTTAGCCGAGTTTCAATGGCGCCACAAAGAGCAGATTTTCGGGTGCTGTTTGCAACTTCTGTGCCACTATTTTCAGATATAAAGGCCTAAATTATCGCTAAGTAGTCAATTTCGTCATTTTTCCATTTTTTAATTCTCTTTTTTTTTCGAGTTCAAATTTTTGAATGTTTACAACACAGGGTGTGTTTTTTGGCCACCATAATATGTTGCCTTTATTCGGAGGATAGCCTGTTTTTCTATCCTTCCATATTTCGGTCACAAGGAAATGCTTTTCAGCTTGTCTACTTCTTGTCCATGTTTCACATGTATACAATAACATGTTTTACATAACACTTTAACACTCTTCATTTAGATTACATTTAGACCACGGATCAACATAATCATGGCACAAGGGAAGTAACCCACAAGTGCTCCGTTCTACTTTTGACACAAGCCTGAGTCCGAAGAATCTCAGCACAATGCACGAACTCTGTACACTGGTGAGGATCCTGAAAAACTTTGGGTAGATTTTTAACACCAAATTTATTACACTCTTTTAACCCCTGCTTACCATAACAGCTCCCACTACCCATATTCTTACCTACTAGAACTAAATACATTTCTTATTAACTGCTTCATAGCAGTCAGTCAGAATCAAATATTTATACAGTGAGCTAGAAAAAGCTAAAGCAAAACCATGGAAAAAACTTTTTTTTTTTAGTATGAGGTATTGGACCTTCATTTAGTCTAGGGAAGTGCAGGATCTGTTTAGTCAAAAAACTGCATGAACATCCCTTAATTGTTTGTGCATGTTATTTCTCAAAACCTCCATGATGATACTGCTCAGCATTTTTCCAGGACCTGACAATAACATGATTTGTGCATTTCTTCACTTGTTCTTAGGCATCATCCACATATCCTTCTTGTCAGTCTGGACCATCAGCTTTTCCATTCTTCAGAAGTTTGCTAGCATTTCTGACTGAGATGGGATGGCTGAGAACCAACGTTAGAGCACCAGAGAATTTCCATAAGCATAAAATCCCCATTTTCAGAAGTCAGCAAACAGTCCCAATTGTGATGGTACCAGTAACAGTGTGATTACATGTTCATCTTGCCTTTCCTCTGAGTGTTGAGTGTCAAGCAGATTGCCAGTTCATTCTCTATTTTACCATTCTCTCTAGGCTGTAATGATATATTTTTACATTCTCCTTGTAAATTTTAAATTTCCTCATTAAATGATTTCTTCATTTATATCTGGCTCACCTTCTGCAGGATGAGTATTCAAAGGGTCTTTTAGGACTGGTCTGTTCGGAAGCTTCTCAAAGTTTTCAGTCCATCTGTTCATTTAATCTTTTAATATGGTGAGACCTTTCCCATCACTTATTTTTGATCAACCAACTTAGCTGGTTTTAGTTTCCTGCTATTAACCTTGTGATGTAAAGGTCTTTGAGGTTCCATTCACTGTTACAGCTTATGCCTTTCAGGTTTGACTTTCTAAGAATTGTGTGTTATCTGCCCCTATATCTTTCTAACTTCTTAAATAGTTATGTGTATTTTTCACTGGCTTTGATTGGCATGGCTAAATGGTCAATAACATTGAGACTCTTATGTGGGAAACCCAGTGTTGAATCTTAGGCAAGGTTGTAGATTTTTCTGTCTGGGGAAAAAATTCAAATCCTCACTTGTACAGTCTTTAACGACAGCACTAACCATGCAGCTTTAAATCTTCAGGCTCAAAGAGCTACACCACAAAACACTGCCTACACCGCAAAACACTGCCTACACCGCAAAACACTGCCTACACCACAAAACACTGTCTACACAACAAAAGACTGCCTACACCACAAAACACTGCCTACACAACAAAACACTGCCTACACCACAAAACACTGCCTACACCACAAAACACTGCCTACACTGCAAAACACTGCCTACACCACAAAATACTGCCTACACCGCAAAACACTGCCTACACCACAAAACACTGCCTACACCACAAAACACTGCCTACATCATAAAACACTGCCTACACTGCAAAACACTGCCTACACCACAAAACACTGCCTACACTGCAAAACACTGCCTACACCGCAAAACACTGCCTACACCACAAAACACTGCCTACACCACAAAACACTGCCTACACCACAAAACACTGCCTACACCACAAAACACTGCCTACACCATAAAACACTGCCTACACTGCAAAACACTGCCTACACCACAAAACACTGCCTACACCGCAAAACACTGCCTACACCACAAAACACTGCCTACACCGCAAAACACTGCCTACATTGCAAAATACTGGCAGAATGGCAGTTTATTAAATTTCTTTTACTCGCAGCTCTTTTTTGTTACTGCTTTAATCTGCTTCTCTATTGGTCCATTTGATTTTTACCCAAGTTTTATGTTTTCATTCCATTTTAACAAGGAATTCATTATACAAATCATTCCAAAAGTTTTAACCTGGATACAGGAGTCTGCCCCCATTCTCCTGTTTTTTTAGAACTTAGTAATATTTTGAAAAAAAAATTTAATTTATAATAATATAAACTATGATAATACAGTTTCCACTAAATTGTTTTAATATACTTACTGTACTGATTTCTAAATTTATAAGATGTAATGTGTCACAATGGTAAAAATGTAATTTACTTATGAGTAGATGGTGATCTGATTTTCCTCTAAAATCTTTTATATCATCTCGACATAATTAAATTTTCATTTTGATACAAGCAATGATCAATGTGATACCCAAACTGCTTCATAATTTATTATATGTGTGGGGCAAAGTGGTCAAGCCAGTTGTCTCGCGCTCAGAAATTCACTGGTTTGTTTCACGGCTGCACCCTTTGGTTCATGTGTGCATTTTTTATTTAGACCCTTGGGAATTACTGTCAGAGCTATGGTGTTTTGACTTTATGAGGCACTTTTGCAACAGAGTTGGGTCGTATGGGATAAAATCAGGTGCAATGAAGTCAATCCTGTCTACTTTAACCTTTCTTTTACGTGGAAAAACTCTTTCTTCTATGGCACGTTGATAAGTTGTGCAAAACTGGGAAATAATTATTCAAAAATTGCTTGACACTACAAGTCTGTGTTTTAGCATGATCTCTTTATAATCCATGTTATCCAATATTATCTTAACAGTGTGCTCACCAATCACAAATTTTATACTGCCATGTCTTTGATTATTAGCTGTACTTTAAAGTTTTATGTAAAAATCCTCCACAAACGACTCTTAATTATTGTTTGTTAGTGCACAACATTAAAGCACATTTATGTTGGCTTTTCTAAAATAAATATTTTTTGCTTATATTATTGCATCATACTTTGTTCATATTTTTTGACAGATTTATTTTTCTTTTTTTTTCTTTTAAAAGACATCTATGGTTGGCTGGATTTTGCAGCTAAACTTTTCTATGGGATAGGGTAGTTTATCTCCTGCTTAGTCACATCACAATGGTATGTTATAGTGTGAATATTCTTAGCCACCTCTTATAACATGAATGGTAGGTTACAGTTAGGTTTCTTTGTTCTCCTAATGGCCATGTTAACATAAGCTGACTCCTCTGTCATATTAAGAAGAAAGTATCAGGGAGTGAAATGTTAAATGTTACATGGTCCGTCACATAACTCTTTTAGTCTCATTAATGTGTCAGATGTGGCTGACCCTTTTCTGTGTGTTCCTGCAGCTAACCCTGTGACAATTCCCACTGTCTTTACATTCTTATACCACATGTCTCATGCTTTAGTTCATTTTCGTGGGAGTTAAAAAAATCCTGATAATTTTGGTGCAAACCTTCTAGGATTAAATAATTAAAGAATGATAATATTCATATTTTTTTTAATGAACATGCATTTCCACAGTGACTCCCACATTATGACACTGTTTTCATCAATACTTCAGCTTCCACAGACATCTCACCTTGATCTGTATTGTAACTTTTTTCAGATCATCGTCTTCTAGCAGTGTCAAATCATCGTCATATTCCGTTCTTAAAGGGGAACAATTTTGTTCAATATAAAGAAGGAAATTGTTTTTCCGTCTTTGGTTTATTCCTTCCCAGACATTGAGAATCGTTATTGCTCGCTGCATGACTGCATTGGCTTGAGCATTGTCATAAACTCTGAAAAATCACAAAAATCACTGATTACAGCAGGCCATCATTCATATATTTAAAAACCAAACAGAAATCTTTCCACACACACACACAAACACACAAAGTACTGCATACATAATTTCTAATTGAACAATTGTTCAACAACTAATTTCCTGTCACATTATGGGCATCAAATATGACACAGATTTAGACATTTCTTCTCCTTTTCCCTGAAGTACCTGATCTGGAGCAAGCATCAGCTATCACAACTGTCAAAATCAATGAATCATCATCCCTTTTGATAAAGTTAGTATTGCTATATTTACAGTCAGTTTTCAGTTAATTCTTCCTTTGTGTTTCCTGTCCCACATTTTCCTTAATGTCTAATTTCTCCTTTCTGGCTCTACTGTTCATGTGACGATTACATTTACTTGTCTTTTCCTTACAGTTCTCATAAGTAATTATCTTGTAACCTCAGTCATTGTATTCTTGGCATTGTTGTCCACACTACTCAAAACATTTAGGGTTGTGATATAAATTCATTAACTAGCAGATTTTGGTCATATGAAGTACAGTTTATATTCTTTGGTTTCATCAATAATAAAATGGCACATCAGTTATTAAAAACTGAACTGTTTTGTAAAATGTAATATAATACTGATATTTTATTTATATTCATCATTGTCAGACACGTGTGTGTGTTTTTTTAAATAAAAAGTTTGCTCAACATCATAATAATATTCATGGGAGGTTTTCTTAGCACATAAAAATTGTTTATGTTAAAATGTTTCTGCAAAAATATTTACACCGAAGTGCTGGGTGTAAACTAAACAAACATATTCACATATTGTGGTATGTACTTCTGATCAGTCTTATGGTGACAGATCGTATAAGTTATTTATTGTCTACGCACCAAGCCATGCAGTCAGAAAACAGTTAGATAATTATGATATCAATCATAAGTACAATTGTCAATGAGGTTTAAAACACGAATGGCTGAAAATTTCTTTAATAGGTAGACATGAATTAACGTAGTTTAAAAAAAATAACGTGTGAGGTCTGTAAACCGTTATAGTGAAGGAGCTGCAAAGTGCTATAAGTATGATCAACTGGTTATTGGGCAACATATAAATGACTGCTTCAGTAAAACCATGAGCACACATAGGCAGAGAAGTTTTCTGGGATATATAAAGTTATACAGAACTAAATTCACACATTGTAAGGCTTTGTTTGAAGACAAAATTTAGAGTAATTCTCAATTAATCTACTGATTTGCATGTTTGTTACACCAGTCAGCACTGATCAGTGCTAGGGTCCAGGGTGACAAGTGTTGTACTTGGTGGTTAATTTACTTCTGGCCAGTATAAAAATGCCAGCTGGTAACTGTTTTTTTTTTCATGTTCCAGTAAAACACATGTAGTACAATAATTTGCTCTCAAGAATTATTCAGTTAAGAATATTATATTATTTTTGCTTGACCTAGTTGGCATGATTTTGCTTGAAAACAACATGGCCCTGAACCAAAGCAATTTACAGCTCTAGAAACCACAAAAATAAAACAAAACGGTGTGTAGATCAGATTTATGTGAAGTTGATTGAAGAAAGTAACGAAGTAGAAATTATTTGTAGTCAGGCTTTAATGTGAGACCAACCTGTAATATATCTTTTGCAGAGTGTACAAAACGAGCAAAAGCAGTAGATACAAAAATAATAGAGTATACTCATGAAAGTCACCTTGTCAGCCGCGATATTTTTTAGTAGTTCCCATAGGAGGTCCTATATTCTAGGGGTGTTATGAGATGTCTTCTTTCGCCGTTTATACACAGCAAAAAGTGGCTTGGGTTCATTCAATGTGGTCAACACACTGTCTCCTAGACAAAAGTTCACAGTTTTCATTTCAAAACTCTCTTTTCTGTAAACAACTGTTGTTTCTGGAATGTGTTGTTGTTGTAAGTAGGTCTCAGGCACCAAAGATGCCTGTGTGCAAGGAAGAAGTACTGCGGGAGAAAGCGCCTAATGCACGACAGTTCATGATATTATCATTGATGTTTTTATATTTTTGTGCTCGTTGGTGGTGGCTGTCATCTCTGGTGGATGTGCTCAAAACATTCAAAACGAGGAACATATGTCACCCCTAGACTAGGAGTGACCTGGGAAATCCCCTAAGAAATCTCACGGCCGACCAGATGGGGTGACTTTTGAGAATTGTACCAAAAATATACATTAGCACATCAACTATGTCATCAATATCAGTTAATTCTAGAGCTTTTCACTCTATTATTTAGAAACACCGCTGCAAAACTGCAGGCACTCCAGTTTTATAAAAAGTTCTTTTTGTATTACTTTTCTCCTTGTGTCAAGTGAAAACACTATGTGATGTGATATTTCTCTGAAGTAGAAATTAATGTATATGTTGCTTTCAACGTTTATTTACATATTACTAAGTGGTTTACCTTTGTTTTTGTTTTTTTAATTTTGATATATTCTGTGAAGTTGTATGAAAGTAAATGTTAAAAAATTAAAAATAAAATTTTGTAACTTGATCATCTATATAAGAATGACATGTTTTTGTTTGCCAATATTTTCCTATTAATGCAATTATTTGTTAAACAGTACAATAAATCTAACTGCAAACCTTTCAAGTTCACTTTCATCCTCTGATGCTAAACTCTGCACTAAAAGAGTACACAGGCCAGTTGTGTTTTGTCTTCGAATGATATGACAAAGAAAAGTGTAATGTAATTTTCTGACTTAATTTCTATGCAAGAGACAAGGGGAGACATTTTTTGCCTCAACATTAACCTACATCAAAATACTGTCCTTGCCAACCTCAGTTATGCACATAATGCTTTTCTTTCAAATGTCCCTATTGTCATTGTGATATTTTTCAACCCACAAAATAGATACAGAAAATATTTAAAATTGAATATTATTGCACTGTTATTCACAGAAAGTGTGTGTGGAATATTTGAGCTGAAAAGCTTAACAGGAAAATAGTTTGCAAATTGAAGGCAAAGTTTTTGCCTAGACATGCATTCTGAGTGAACCTAATAAAAGTCTATGAAATGGAAGTCAGTTGTTGACTATAATGGTAAAGCAGGTAGCTGCTGTAAACATTCCAGCCAAATTGACACTGTAGTATAAATTAAATATGTGATTTAGGTGAATTAAATTACTGAAAATGTCAATGTTATCAATCATGATTGCTTACCTTTGAAAAGTATCAGACAACAGTGCAATAAATAAATTCAGACATAAAATTGATGACAGCATAAACCATGTAGACAAGAGTATGTCAGCCATAACACCATCAATTAGTAGCATATTCTGCAATTTTAATAGGTCATTGTTAGACTATACTAGCAATATCATGCAATGTTTCTTGTCACAATGTAAACACCTTTTTTTTTTAAATGCCAATAAAATAGTTTTAAATCATTACACCACTGAATTTAAAGAAGTAATTGTTTACAAGTTCTAAAACTACTCAATATAATTACAATCATTACAAGCACTTAAACAGTCTTTATTTTACAATATGTGACAAACATGTGTATGGTAAAATATTATGTTATATATACTGAGCTATTAACTACATCTTTAAATTTACAAATGTAATTAAACAATCGCATGCCACATGCACTGTAGTAGAAAAGGTAATGTATTTACTGGAGTATCATTTTTTTAAATACTAAAAAGAACAATCATGCATAATATGAAGGTTAATATCAAGGGAAAGAATCATACATCATGCATTGCACAAAGAGTTGCGTCTACTTACATCATAATCATAATCATCCACTAAAGTTAAACGAAATAAGCTGAAAAATATTTGGCCAGGATATTCAAATCCACTGACAGATACTTCTTCATCCTGATTATTTTGGACTCTTTTTGTTCCCCCAAAAATCATCCAAAAGGCTGCCACTGCAAAAAAAAAAGTGTATTTATATATATAAATCAATGTTTGTGTGTTTGTTTGCCCCCTATAGACTCAGAAACTACTGAACCGATTTAGCTGAAATTTTCAGGATATGTTTGTTTTGATACCGGATGTTGAACCATCATGGTTTGAAATTCAACCTGTCACTGTTAGAGATAGGTGACCACAATTTAAGCCATAATATTTGAAACTAATATTTATAACTTTAGTGATTTCTAATTATAGCCACGTTACGTGGGATCGATTTACCGTGCATGCGCAGTAGTGACGCTCTATTGTCAACATCCGCCCGCAAGGAAAATGGCTATCGGTTTTTAGTTGTGTTATCAAGAAATATATAAAAAGGTAAGAGCATTTATTTAAGTAACATTAGTCAGTATGTACATGTTTTTTGTTTACTTCAAACAAATGTGGACCACTTCTTAAATCCCGCAATGATAAATGTATACACATTATCATTTACTATTATCGTCTTTCTCATACCCGATACCCATGAGTACCACAAGTAGTACACAGTTTTGGTTGGCTTTCTTCTGTTATTCAAACGAATTATATAAATTTACAGGACATTCTCCCAGGTCAGTGTTAGAATCTAGAAATATCTCAACAGGTGAGCGCATTTATTACAGTGACATCAGCCATTATGTACATTTTTTAAACTTCAAATACATGTGTGGACCACTCCTTAAATCTAACAGAAAGTGATAAATGTATGCACATTATCTGTTGGCTTTCTCATATTGTCTTATATACCTCCTTTTCTTACTATTTGCTGCCCAGTTTCTATGCATTTCCTCTTGAGTCAAAATAGATTGTTATCTCATGCTCATATTTTCATTTATTTCAGTGATACTTCAAGTCATATTTCATTTAGTGCGTGAGGATAAACAAGCTATTGATGATCAGCGCTCACAAAATTTGCAGTTATGCTTCCCAAACGACAAGCGATTGGCCCATCTACACATAAAACGCTCAAGAGAATGGCATTATTTGCTTCAGAAACAGACGAGCAACATGAGGTGAGACTGCAAACCAGTATGTACATGTTTTTTGTTTACTTCAAACAAGTGTGCACCACTTCTTAAATCCCGCATTGATAAATATATACACATTATCATTATTCCCCGTGTGGGTTCCGGGGTCCCATTGTGGGGAAAACAAGAATAGACCCACTGCCTCCCCAAAAGCATGTCGTAAGAGTCGACTAATTGGGGAGCCTCTTTTGAAGTCGGAGTGCATCTGCCAGAGAGGCAAGGAACCAACAGTCTGTATTCAAGAGAATGAGATCTGTAAAACTGATGCACATGCAACACTCAGGTTCTGGAGCAGGACTGCAGTTCAGTAGTGGACGAGCAACCAGAACTTTCCGCCACAGTGTACAGCTGGTGAACGCGAAGATGAAGAAAAAGATTAATCATTATCTGTTATCTTTCTCATACTCATTGGTACAACAGTTTTGGTTGGCTTTCTTCTGTTATTCTAAAGAAGTATATAAATTTACATGACATTCCGTCTCAGGTCAGTGTTAGAATCTAGAAATATCGCAACAGGTGAGTGCATTTATTTCCAGTCAATATGTACATTTTTTAAACTTTAAATACATGTGTGGACCACTCCTTAAATCCCACAATGATAAATGTATGCACATTATCTGTTGGCTTTTTCATATTGTCTTATATACCTCCTTTTCTTACTATTTGCTGCCCAGTTTCTATGCATTTCCTCTTGAGTCAAAATAGATTGTTATCTCATGCTCATATTTTCATTTATTTCAGCGATACTTCAAGTCAACTTTCATCATGAGGATGAACAAGCTACTGATGATCAGCGCTCACAAAATTTGCAGTTATGCTTACCAAACGACAAGCGATTGGCCCATCTACACCTAAAACACGCAAGAGGAGGGCATTAATTGCTTCAAAAACAGATGAGCAACGTGAGGTAAGACTGGAAACCATTCGAGTGCGCACTGCTGAAGCCCGTTCATCTCAATCAGACCAGCAACGGAAAGCAAGACTCAAAAACGTTCAAATGCACACTACTTTATCCAGGCGAACACTGCATGTTGCTTTGAATCTTGGTGCATTCCATTACACCAGCAATTATGATTGGTCTTCATCTACTCTCGCTTACTGGCAAAATGGATAAATTGTGCGTACATTGCAGTGCCTTCAAATTTAAGAATGACATGCCGGGTATGTGCTGCGCTGGTGGAAAAGTTAAATGGCCAGTATTACATTCACCACCCGAACCATTATCATCATTGGTAGTAGGTGACACAGGCCAGTCGACACATTTCTTGGCAAACATAAGTACATTTGCAAATATGTCAACAAAGGAGGCGATATGGCAGTCTTTGGAGTGGGACATGCAGCTGCATCTATCGATGAAATCAAGCAATATCAGCTGGGGCGCTACATTAGTAGCAATGAAGCGGTATGGCGCATTTTCTCATTTCCAATTCATGAATGACATCCAGCAGTTGTTCATTTGGCAGTGCACCTTGACAATGGACAGTGCGTGTACTTCACTACAGAGAATGCACATGCACAAGCATTGTTACCACCGCCAACCACGTTAACTGATTTTTCTCATTGTGTAGAGATATGTTTGCAAAGACACTGCTTTACTCTGACCTGCCAATATACTACACATGGAATGCATCAGCTAAAAAGTTTCAACGCTGCAAGCAAGGTCAAGCGGTTGACGGACATCTTAATTTATATTCTACTGATATTTTAGGCCGTCTGTACACTGTTCATCCCAAAAATGCAGATTGCTTTTACTTGCGATTACTTTTAATCAACAAACGGGGACCGGCATCCTTCCAGGACTTGAGAACAGTTTATGGTAAAGTATGCGCTACTTACCGTGAAGGTTGCCAAGAATTAAATCTTCTTGAAAATGATGCACATTGGGACACTTCACTCGCTGATGCTTCGAATACTGCTCGACCACAGCAAATACGCACATTATTTGCAATAATATTAACAACTTGCTTCCCATTCATTCTAAAAGAGCTTTGGGAAAAATACAAAGACTACATGAGTGAAGACATCCTGGCGTTAAACGAAGCATGATCAGGACCTTCAATTCATACCAAATGTATATAATGAGGCATTTGTTTGCATTGAGGACATATGTTTGACAATAACTAACAACGCACTGGTTCAGGTGGGACTGGCTCCACCAGAACAATCTTCAAACAACCTTTTCGATCGTGAGTTGCCATGAATCCGAACATCTAAGACAAATTACCAGGCGGTGTGACAACGTCTAAGTCTATCGATACTGTAATGAATCAGGACGAAATTGTTAATTATCCAACTGAGTTCTTAATTTCACTTGATTTGCCAGGCATGCCACCCCACATTTTAACCGTGAAAATTGGCGTGCCCATCATTCTTCTCAGAAACATCAATCCGCCACGTCTTTGCAATGGTACCAGGCTTTCAGTGAAAAGGCTGATGCTCAATATCATCGAAGGTACAATTTTAAATGGGAAATTTAAGGGCGAGAATATACTTTTGCCACGCATCTTAATGATTCCAACAGACATGCCATTTGACTTCAGACGCTTGCAGTTTCCGGTGCGACTCGCCTTTGCAATGACCATAAACAAATCACAGGGACAATCCCTACAAGTGTGTGGACTACGTTTGGAACATCCATGCTTTTTACATGGACAGCTATATGTGGCCTGTTCACGCGTCGGAAAACCTTCTAATTTATTTGTGTACGCGCCAGACGGAAGAACAAAGAACATTGTTTACCCAAAAGCACTTCAGTAAACACATTTTTAATGTTAAATTACTGGCACAATGATCCAATATAATTACATTTTGTTAAAGCGATTTTCCTTTCAATTCACTTTCTATTGTAGCAACGCGTGCAGGGTTGTTTACAGCAATTAGCAAATGTGCTCATTTCGTAATTATGGTGTATTTTTCCTCTTTTCATTGCTTTTCACTAGGGTAATTTTTCCAACTACTTCGATGAAGGAGAAAGTAGTATGTGAACTGGGGGATGGGTGGTTACAATAAACTGTTTACTGAGATAGATTTAAGTTACAGTAACTGCCTTACCCACTCAAAGTTTTATTAGCTGTGGTTTAGCTGTTGCACTGTGCATCGCTAGCGTGAAGCGAAGACACATTTCTATGTTCTCTATTTTCCGTGTAGCCAAATTACGCCACAGCAACGCGTGACCGGGTACAGCTAGTATATATATATATATATATATATATATATATATATATATATATATATATATATATATATATATATATATATATATATATATATATATATATATATATATATATATATATATATATATATATATATATATATATATATATATATATATACATACATACATACATACATACATACATACATACATACATACATACATAATACATACATACATACATATATATATATATATATATATATATATATATATATATATATATATATATATATATATATATATATATATATATATATATATATATATATATATATATATATATATATATATATATATATATATATATATATATATATATATATGAAAACTTTCGGTGTAAACAGCCACAATGGCGGTACGCTTTTTCGTCCGTTGAGGCGAATGGCGCAAGTTAGCTATTTTCGCTCACGAATAATGTGAAAGTTTTATCGGAATGGGCTCTGAACCGTGCAATGGAGTACATGCACGTGAGTTTAGACTTCCCTCAGTGTGTATTCGACGTCCCATGGCGACTATTTACCAATTTAAAACAACCCGTAGACGGACAAGGAGAACGCGAACAGGCAAGCACGGTGGCGCTTGCAGGAAGCGACTGAAATGTGAGAGACTCAGTTTAAAGTATGTTCGTGTTCTCTACTGGAACTGCGCTTCGTTTAGTCAACGCCGACCCATTTTTGAGAAGCTCCTCTACAGCAACGACATTGTTGTCCTACAGGAAACACACCTCGGT